AGCAACACCATGATCAGCATGAAATTCTGCGTCGAATGGCTCATGTGATTTGCCCAGCACACCCAGTTAATCTTCCAGTTATTTCTAATTATAGAGAAAAAAAGAGGAAGAGTAAATACTGGCTGATTCTTGTCCTATAAAGCTTTTTAGTCGCAACTTTCGACTACTATGAAGATGGATGTAGAGGCACTCGTTTGTTGTGTTACAATGACGGGGTTTCTGATGCTTGCTACTTGCCAGACGTTTGTTTTCTGTCTTACCACTTTTCCTGACACTTTTTTAGAAAGGACCTTGTCCACCAAAGCCGATTTCGATCAACTGGGAGCCAGAGAATCGTAAGTTGACAAAAAACCTAATAAAATCATCATCTTTTTGCTATTTTGTTTAGCCGCTCACTTCTCCGAGTACAGTGATTCGCCGTGTGGCCGGGGCACAGATTGCTACAATGACGGAGAGGTTGATCAATGTTATATGGCTGTGGGGAAATGTTTGCCGAAACCCGACTCGATCTTCAACGAGCCCACGGGACGTGAGTAGAGCAAGAAAGAGAAACAAGCTATCTGAAACAAGCTATCTAAATCAAGCTATCTGCATCAAGCTATCTGAATCAAGCTATCTGAAACAAGCCATCTGAATCGGAAGAATCTTTTGCTTTTCTAGCCGCTCTTGTTGGTCGTTGTCCTGAAGGCTTTGAATGTTTCCACGATGGATCGAGCAATCAATGCTATTGCTATGATACGGCTGGACCAAACATGTGGGTTTATGTAGGCAAAAACAGATCACAGCATTGGAATCAGCGAAAAATACTGTTTGGAAAAATTCGAAAAATTTAACAATATAACAAATAACAATATAACACATATAACAAATATAATAAATAATTCTTTTGTTTACAGCTGTCTGGACGCTCACAATAGGGCTCTGTGCGATCACAAGAGCAACATGTGCGCAAAGACTTGCGGATTTTGTGTTGGCCCCGGTTCCGCCTGGAAGTATCCCATCACTTTCGCACCTTAAGGAAATTACTCTTGACTCTTAAATTACTGAAATGGGATCACCATTTGTCTGTAGTACCTACTCGAATAAATTTTCGCAAAATCAGCAAAGAGTTTCAAGAACATCAACAAGAGAAAACATCAAAAACATTTCAAAATACTTCTTGAGTTAGAGAGTAAATGCTGAGGAATGGTAAAGGAAAATTCGTACTACAAAAGTTCGTAATTCGTACTACATAATCTCAAAGAATAAACGCATATCATCACTTTCTATTAGAGCGAAAAGCAACTATTGTGTTCGTGAAAGTTGAAAGATATTGGGATAGGGAAACGGTCGAAAAATGAACTGAATCGATAGCTTGGCATTGGTGTTATTGGAATAGAATTGACAAACAAAGGATTTTGCTTTAATAAAATGTATAACTGACAAAATAGCCGTTAAATAGATAAACATTTATTGAGAATCGTTATTAGAAATAGAAATTTTCTGCTAAAGTTCTCTCCTTTTTAGAATTCTCTCTAAAAACTTACTCATTGCTTTGATTTCATAAGTGTTTATATCCAAAAGATAGCCAATCTTTTACAGAATTTAAATCTGATCACAGTTTTTAAATAACTTCTTTAGATTTTGAGTTATTACTATTCTATTAAGGTGTAAGGAAAAATAGTTTTAATCAAAAAACGTATTATTAGGTTGGTAAAAAAAGAAATGCGCGTTTTCGTTAAAAGTTTATTTTATTATAAAAACAAGATAACAATACATTAATCCAAAAAGGTATTCGCCATCTGCATCAATGACTTGTCGCCAACGTTCACGCAGAGAATGGATGCCCTTCTTGAAGAACTCGACCGACTCGAAGAAGTTGGACACCCAAATTTGGACCTCGTCGCGGTTCTTGAACTTTTTCTCAGCCAAGGAGTGGTGCATTGATCGGAACAGATGGAAGTCGGAAGGCGCCAAGTCTGGGCTGTATGGCGGATGAGGCAGGACTTCCCAGCCCATTTCTTCAATTTTCTGCTAGGTGATTTTTGCGACATGCGGCCGATCGTTGTCATGGAGGAATTTTGTCGACGCCGTATCCACACATTGACGTCACAACGCCTGGTCGACGCGGTCCAATTGGCCTTGGTAGAGGTTCGCCGTAACTGTTTGACCCGAATCCAAAACCTCAAAGTACACCAGGCCTTTACTGTTCCACCAAACACAAAGCATCACCTTTTCTCCCTGGGTGTCCGGTTTTGGAATCGGTTTTGGAGCTTCACCGGGGTCCAACCACTGCCGCTTTCTTGCTGTGTTGTCGTATTGGATCCACTTCTCATCCGACGTAACAATGGAGTCGAAAAACCCACTGTTCTTGGCGCGTTGAGTGAGAATTTCGGCGATTGCGATGCCTGCCGCCTTGTTTGCGTCGGATAGCTTATCTATTCGTCTTGCCCCATGCCATGCAGATGGTTCTCAATGGTGACATGAGTGCAGCCGAACTGTTCTGCCAGGTCGCGAGTGGTTTGGCGTGGATCCGACTCAATGGCTTCCTTCAATACGTCTTTGTCGATGATTTGAGGTCAACTCCCGTGTTTTTGGTCTTCCAAGCTTTCGTCGCCGTCTCGGAAGTGCTGGAACCATCGTTTACACTGACTTTCCGATAGAGCATCTTTGTCAAACACTTGAGATAGAGCGCGATGAGCTTCAGCAGCCGATTTGCCTTGCGATTCATACCACAAGCAGGCCCGCAAGCGAAATTTTTGGTCCGACATTTTCTAAACACTCTTTCTTGTAAAAAAACAAAGTAAACATAGACAAATTATATATCAAATGATGCGCAAGAACACGCTTTTTTTTCAATAGAATAAACTATTTAAAAAAATCTTTTACTGTGAATAAAATAAAAATCAACAAACACGACGCTCATTTCTTTTTTACCAACCTAATATATTGAGCCTAAGCCTATTTATTGAAGAAAAAACTCAATGAAGCAAAGATTAATCGGTAAGGTATTCTCCATTTTGAGCATAATGAATAAGCAGAAGAGTCTACAACCGAATCTAATCACGTAAATCGTTTGTTGGTCTTTGATTGATCTCCTCTTTCAATGCTCTCCGAGAAGCCCCTAAAAAAGCGCCAATCATAGATTTTACGTAGACAGAAAAACAGAAAATAGCTCTATTTTCAGCGCTGAAGTAAGTTTTATAAGTTTTACCAACATTTTGTTTTACTTTTTTCAGTAACAAAGTCGATAGTCTCAACGCGCTTCTGTTTGCGAAGGATCAAGGAAAACGAAACAACAATGAGCTCAAGGATCGCTCATTGTTGTTTCGTTGAAGTACCCGCACATCAGAAAGCATTTCAACAGGCATCATCCAGATCTGTGGACATTCATCAAAGGACTTTGAGGATTTCAATAGAAGATTGACAACAAAATGATTGAATACAAACAACACGGCATCAAGAAGACACGATTAGAAAACATGGATGCACAAAAGGTTTCCTGCGAACGTTGGAATGGATAGTCTAAATATTTGATTGAGATTGATCGATTTATATTTGATTTACTACACTCTGCCAAAAAATTATAGACGCACCCTGTTTTTTGCTAGTTTAGAGCCGGATATAAGTGCTAGTCCAGTCCAAAGTATTTTTTTTAGTTTCTTTAATGTAAAAAAACAACCCATGCAAAATTTCAAGTCATTTCACTCATCCAAAGTACTTTATCATACAAAAAACGTTTTATCAGCTGTCAAAAAATTATAGACGCACTTTTATTTTAGCAAGAAATTTGAGTATTGTAGATCGTTTGACAACGTTGTGCACAGTTTGGCGAGTGGCCGGAAGCTTCATCTCCTTGCGAACCTCTTCGAGTGATGTCGTCGTGTTGGAAAGACGTCTCGTAATTGCGCGTTCGTCTTGATCGGTCAACCTTTTCTTCCGGCCCCGTGTTTCTTTCTTCTTAGGAGTCATTTTGGTCTTGAGATACGTGCGAATACACTTCTCAGAACGTCCGATGCGATGAGCAATGTCCCTGTTTGAGTGACCAAGCGTGTGGAGCCCATCGATACGCGTTTTTTCCACCACATCCAGTTGTTTTCCAAGTGGCATATCTGAAAATGTAAAAACATTTATAAACATAACTAATAAGCAAAAAAATGAGAAAAAACTAACAATTATTGATAGAATAAATCGTCAAATAAAAGTGCGTCTATAATTTTTTGACAGCTGATAAAACGTTTTTTGTATGATAAAGTACTTTGGATGAGTGAAATGACTTGAAATTTTGCATGGGTTGTTTTTTTACATTAAAGAAACTAAAAAAAATACTTTGGACTGGACTAGCACTTATATCCGGCTCTAAACTAGCAAAAAACAGGGTGCGTCTATAATTTTTTGACAGTGTATGGTCTGCTGGTTATCAAGATTTTTTAAAAAGCCAAGCTAACCTAATAGATCTAAAAATTCATAATTTTCTCTTAAAACATATAAAAGTCACGATTTTCTATTTTAAATGCAATTATTAAGCCAATAAAAAAGGTTTTTTAAAAATCAGGAAGTTTTACTTCCCTTTTGAGTCCATTTCTTAATCGAGTTTCCAAAAATGCAGGCAAAATTGAAGCATCGAGACATCGACCACGTTTCGATTGAGATTGCATATTTGATATTTGATTGAGATTGCAAAAACTCATTGAAAGTTTGCATTTGTTAATTAGGTTAATTTTTGTTAAAGTTTGTTTTTTGGTCGATTTATATTTGATTTACTATGGTATGATGGTTATCAAGATTTGTTAAAAAAGCCAAGCCAACCTAATAGAAGCCAATAAAAAAAGTTTTTTAAAAACCAGGAAGTTTTACTTCCCTTTTGAGTCCATTTCTCAATCGAGTTTCCAAAAATGCAGACAAAAAAGAAGCATCGACCACGTTTCCCCTCATCCGATATTGTTTTGGCTGAAATTTCAACAACACAACAAAAGTTTTCAAATTTATTTCCTATTTTCTCGCGTCTCTTCCGCATTTGAATGTTTCCTTGGATTTGCTGCATTTCCTTCTTCATTATTGTTGAGGCTCAGTATGGACAAGTTAGTGAAAGAAAAGTTGACTCCTCTGTGAAAGGAGACTTTGCTGCATTTCTACCTTATTGCATTATTGACTTGAATCGGCTCGATTCGAACAAAAAGTGCACATGTTTAATTCAGTTTCAGTGCAATTCAATGCACATGTTCAATTCAGAGTACTTCATGATTCACAAAGCAAAAAAGCACCCTAGTTTCCCCTAATAAATATCTTTTAGCCAACGATTGCTTTGAAAGATTTGCCGCCTTCATTGTCATACTCAAATGGAAGTGAGTGAATAAAAGAATGTTAAAAAGTTGGGCTTTACTTCTTAGTACAAAAATTTTGATCGTATTTTATCAATCCTTCCGCTTTTGAGTTTGATTTTGATTCAAAATTTGATTAAACTAACCTTTTACTTGGATCATTAATTTTCATTGGTTCGATCATTAATTTTCAGATGTAGCTTCAAACTATGAAATTCCAATTTATAATAATCATGATGAATGGTCGAAAAGCGAGAGTCGAGAAGATTATTGCAGTGAAAAACGAGTGAAAGAGGCGTTTTGTCCAAAGAGACTCTCATTGGAGGGATCGAAATGTTGGGTACCGGAAACGAGGTGAGACTCTTCAAAAGCTGGCTCAACATTTGTTTATCAGCACGCGGGAAAAGAGTAAGGTTTCATGGAGGACAGTTCTCTCTTCGGTACAGATACATTACAGATACAGATACATTCCTCCAAAAAGCAGACTTATCTGGATACTTTCTCTTTATTTACTTTTCATTACTTTATTTATTGGTCAGTTAAACAAGCTCTCCTCGCTATTCGCCTAGAAAAAACTGGCAAAATCCTGTATCGATCTATTAGGTTGATGCAAAAGTCTTTTTCATTTTTTTCGTCTGCCGTTTCAAGCCAACAAATGCACCAATTAAACTACGGTTGATTTCATTAGAAAAACCAATTATTTTTCTGCAAAATAACATTAAAACGGGTTTAAAAATATTTAATGCCTAGATTTTCTTGAGAGTATGAAGTCGGGTAGTCAAAAAGGGCTAACTCGATGATGCGGTTTAGACACCTTAGCTAAAGAAAACCTATCTTCGTGTCAATAGATAAAAGATAGAGAAAAAAACGTTTGATATTTCGCCAAAATTTCAGAGAAATTCATTCAGCCAATTTTTCCGTAGAGTTTTTTATAGATTTTTACGAAAAAGGCGTTTTTCACTCTCGAATTTGCTTGAAAGTAAACCGAAATTCATTTAAAAAGATGCAAATTGAACAAAAAACACTTTTTTTTATAGGGCAAACTATAGATTAATTGGTGAATTTGTTACTTTTTAACAGAAGTACGAAAAAAATGAAAAAGACTTTTGCATCAACCTAATACATGTTTTTAATATCGTTAGACGAAAAATGATCTCCTCTATCCAATTCTTCTCCAAAATTACAAAACTTTTAAACTTCACACTCTTTTTAATATGAAAAAGAATTGGATAGAGGAGATCATTTTTGCCTTTTTGTCTGAATGCCTTTTTTTACAAAAAAAAATGTTTTGGAAGGATGTTCTTTTGCAGAAAGATTGATCTAAATGATCGTGAATATTTGGAAGTGAGATGTGATGGAAGAAATGAAACGATAGCTTTGGTTACTGGAGAAGGAAAGGTAGAAATAAAAACTATCGAAATAAAAGCTCATATCCAAATTTACAGCTTTCTGAACAAATAACTAGGTAAAGTAAAAAAATTCTGATGAAACTGTATATCTGTAAATTAGTTTTTTGACATTTAGTGAATTTTTTTCTGTTTCAATTCAGGTGATTACCGTTTCGTTTGGTAAAATGGAGCATGTGTTGGCGTGCGAGGAGAGGAAGTGAGAGTGTTGGAGCACTAAATTTGATTTGTGAACTTGCAGACATAAATGGAAAACATTTACATTCAAACGAGAGAGAATTTACACCCGAAGAGTGTTTTGTGTTGAAGGCGGTAAAAATGATTAGTTAAATGTTAGCTGAATCTGTAATTTAGAAATTGTTCAACAATTCATGAATCAGGTGGGCTGAACGTTCACTTTTCTTTGTTTAGTTTCTACATTTTACACAGAAATATATTTAATTGTCATTTATAATTTCCAGGCGGGTTTGACTTCAACGACAACAACCACCACGACCACCACTACAACAACGACGAGAACGACCCCTACGGTTAGTCTCCGAAGGAGCCCTTTTGAACTCGAAATGCATGGCCTCTTTACAGATAACGACAACCACGAACACTACCACGACGACTACAACTACTACAACAACCACGACCACCACTACGACGACGACTACGACGACGACGATCACCACAACAACAACTACTACTACTACTACGACAACAACAACGACGACAACAACAACGACGACCACTACGACGACGACTACAACTACTACAACAACCACGACCACCACTACGACGACGACAACGACGACGACGACCACTACAACAACAACTACTACTACGACAACGACAACCACAACGACGACAACAACAACTACGACGACGACAACAACGACGACAACAACAACGACGACAACAACAACGACGACAACAACAACCAATACTACTACAACCACGACGACCACAACGACAACAACCACTACTACGACGACCACAACGACGACGACAACGACGACGACAACAACAACCACTACTACTACTACAACCACGACTACCACTACGACGACGACGACCACCACCACAACCACAACGACAACAACAACAACTACTACTACGACGACGACCACAACAACAACAACAACAACAACAACAACAACAACTACTACTACTACTACTACTACTACTACTACTACAACCACGACGACAACAACCACTACTACTACGACAACAACAACTACGACGACGACAACAACGACGACGACAACAACGACGACGACCACTACCACTACCACCACCACTACCACCACCACAACGACAACAACAACAACTACTACTACGACCACCACAACAACAACAACCGTAAGTTCGTGAAGGATTGTCGATGTACTAGGTTGATACAAATGAAATTTCGGGCGGTATAAAATGTTCGATTTTTTTAATCCGGAAAGCTTATTTGATTTTCTTTTGGATATTTACTCTTTTGACACTTTTCGAAGTCAGAGCTTTCACTTTTTAATTGATATTTGCTTTAGATCATGGTGGGTCAAAAGTATGTTGTGCGCGCGTGTCTTCTCTTCAAGTTGCCGAATCGCGTCGTGATCTCTATTCCGCTTTTGGAGAACAAGTTATGACCGAAAGCTTCTGCCAGCTCTGGTTTACTCAATTCCGAGAAGGTATTGAATGTCTTGAAGAGGAACCACATGGGCATCGCTCGGCAGCGATCGATAATAATGAATTGGAACAACTTATTGAAGCCGATGTAAACGACACGAGAGCTTGCCAAACAACTCCAATGTGATCAATCAGCAATTGTCCGCCATTTGGAAATAATCGGAAAAAGCAATCGTAATGAACGATGGGTTCCACATCAATTGAGTACCGAGATCTGGGTGCACGCGTTTCGATCAGCCATATCTTGCCTCTGAAGTCGAAAAGAAGCCATATTTTTGAGAAAATCTTGACAATGGGTGAAAAGTGGATTCACTTCGATAACAAAAAAACAATGGCGCAGCAAGGGTCAAATGCCAATTTCAACTCCAAAGCCGGATTGGGCGCAAAGTGATGTTGTCTTGCTGGTGAAACATCGACGGATTTGTTTATTTCGAATTATTAGAGCCCGGAAAAATAGTTGATTCACCTTGTTTTATTCAACAGATCAAGAAGGTTGACCAAATTTTGCGTGAAAAGGGTTTAAATCCCCTCGACTGTCAATTTTCTCCGTGACAACGCGTCAGCTCACACAGCGAAAGCTTCTTGTAGGAACTAGGATGGAAGGTTTTACCGGTTTTACCGTTTTACCATATAGTCCAGATTTGTCACCAGCTGATTTTCACCTCTTCAGATCAATGCAACATTTCCTTGCCAGTTTAAGAATGCGCAAGAGGTCGAGATTTGGGTGACCGACTACTTTCAATCACAGAATCAAGAGTTCTTCGATAAGGGGATCCGCAATCCGGGATTGTTTGGAATAAATTTTTACCTAAAGGAATTTTAATTGAATTTAATGTTTGTAAAAAACGGTAATTTTGGTTGCATCAACCTAGCAATGATCTCAAAAATCTATGTTACTTTTTTGAATTTCTTCCTGTACTTTCAGCTAATAATCAATTTTAGTCGACGACAACGACCACAATATCCAATTCCTGTCCATACCTCACTCTCACACTAGTTTTGGCCAACTCGTGGAGTGGAAACAATGGTGCTAATATATACAATCAGTACATTTTGACCTTCAAAAATTCGGCCAAACAACCGGTGTGCGCTGGAGCTGTTTTCTCGATGCAATTGAATGGGGTAATTTGAAGGCTAAATGATTCATCTTCTTTAAATGATTCTAAATGATTCATCTTCTTCAAATGATTCTAAATGATTCATCTTCTTTAAAGGATTCTAAATGATTCATCTTCTTTAAAGGATTCTAAATGATTCATCTTCTTTAAAGGATTCTAAATGATTCATCTTCAGCTCACAATAACCGATCATTATAACTTCGATTCGTTGGGCGGTTCTTTGTATGTTTTACCATCTGGATGGACAACAGTGCCGGCTGAGGGAATCTACAATACATCTGGTGTCACTCTTATGGGAGTCGGCTCGTTTAATGTGGCTGTTGTAAGCTGTAAATTATGCTAAGAAATAAAGGATTACCAAAAAAAACGCAAAGTGATTCATTTTAAAAGCAAAAGAAACTGGCAATCGATTTTGAAAAAGAAAAATGGAAAAGATGAGGTTCGAGGGAAGAAGCATGGACAAAGCAAAAGGTTGAGCATTTGTATTTTATCACAGAAGAATGAGAGTTATGTGCTGTGAACTTTGTGAACTTCAACTTTGTTGCATTCTTTATCATCTTCTATGTCTATTTTTTGTGATTCCAATCCCTTGCCACATTTATCCTTCAGGATTCACCGAAATTCGCACGTTCATCTAAATTTAAAGTTCGATTTTCATTTGATATGTTTTTTATTAACCCATTCGAAACCGCAGCGTTTTTTCTTTTTTTTCGTCTACGGACCAAGCCCTTTTTTGACATTTTTGACTCCGAAGCAGTTTATTTATGGTTGGAAAGATGTAAGAGAGTCTCCTACACCATTTATTTTTGATAAAAAACGACTTGGATTTGACTTCAGTACTTTTCAAGATCCTATCGATTATTGTTCTTATTTTATCGACGACAATATTTTAGTAGGCGAATCTAATAAACATGGAAAAAGGAAAACAAACTGGCAGGATTTCGATGCAAAATCTTTCAAGCTCTTCCTGGCTCTGTATCTTCAAATGGGAATCGTCAGTTTATCGAGGATTCGTGACTACTGGAGTAGCAGGCCTGGATTAGGAGGATTTTCGCACATGTCCCACATTATGTCAAGAGCAAAATCTATTCTTCGAAACCTGCGTTTTTGTGATAATGAACTGGATCGGCTTTATAAGATTAGAGCTATTATAGAACATTTCAATGCAAAACCAGAGGCTGCATTGATTCCGGGTAAATATGACACGTCTTTTTTGCCCACGTAATTTGTAGATCTGCTACAATTGGAATACATGTAATGCTGAAAAACAGCAAAAAAAAAAAACCAATTAATTGAATGAAAATAGCTCAATTAGCGCTGCAGCGGTCCGTTCCTGAGTTCTTGTTGCAGCGATTATTCGCTGCAGAAGTTTCGAATGGGTTAATAGAAAGTTGTTTCTTTTTGAAATTTTAGAAAAAAATTGTTTACAACTAGCTTGTGCTTACATTTTTCGGTGCTGGAAAAAATTTGGCGTATTTTCTGGTCAATCTGTATCGATACAAAGATAGGCTTCCTTTAGCTAAACTGTCTAAATTGCATTATTGAGCTTGAGTCTTTGACTACCTGACTTCAGGCTTCCAAAAAAAATCCAGACATAAGACATTGGTAAACTAGTTTTAATGTTATTTTGCAGAAAAATAATTGACCTTTCTAATGAAACAAACCTTAGTTTGTTGTTGATGATGTTGATGGATTTGTTGGTTTTTAACGAAAGTACAAAAATGAACGTAAAGACTTATGCATCAGCCAAATATACCAAACCTTTTTTTGCTCTTTTCTAATAGATCACAAACTTACTTTTTGATAAATAAATATAACGATAACACTTTTTTTTCGGATAAATAACATGCTTAAGTAATTTGCACGAAAAACCCATTATAATTTTCATGAAATTTTCATTAGTTCCCGGTTGTCCATCAGTTCTCTTCATCAAGCATTACTTCATTTTCGATCTAAAGCTTTGCTACATTTGCTACATTTGCTACATTGCTACATTTGCTTTGATACACACTACCGATTTCTCAATTCACCAAAATTCTCAATTCAATGTTATTCCATCTGAGAATGCTTTTTGTTTTATTCACTTTTCTTTTGATGGTAAATGCCGAAATGACAGAAGAGGACATTGAAAGGTTTGCTAAGAGTCGCTCAAATTTTGTTTAAAAGTATATTTATTCGACACGAATGATGACTTGCAACATAACGGAGAAAATTTTTAGCCCTAATTACCCCTATTGTCCAAATGTTGTTAAGAAAAAATCCATAATAACGGGAAAAAGAACCAATCTTTCTCTATCCGCCGGGATTGAACCCTTAACTCCCCGACTAGAAGACAAGACTCCTATCGGCTGCGACGGCTATAATTGTTACTGTAAGCAAATTACCGTATTCTCTCTAATAGTGGTGCGCCCTGAGCTGCCTAAATTGCTCGAAATCTCGAGAACCGCTTATCAGAACCTATCGATGTGGGGTCGGAAAATGTAGCTGACGATGAGATCTTTACGATGATAAGAGTGTTGAGCTTCTGCAAAAGCTTGGAAACCGTAAAATCGTCATCAACTCGGCTCGCCGGGGTGCACTACTATCTGAGAAAATACGGTAGTTTATCGAATATTTCTTTCTTGAGAGGAAACCGAATTCACAATCTAAATCAAAAATTTACAAATTCTACTTGTAAATTTTTGATGTATTGCTTGAAATCTTATAAATCAATATCAATACACTGAAATCAATATCGTTTTCAGTGAACCAATCGAGTTCATCGTGGCGCAAAGGTAAATAAACTTCTCATTTGTAACTCATTCATTTTTTTTAGACAAACCCAGCAACCAGGAGTGAGTTTTGCGTTTTTGGGATAAAAAATAGTATGCGAAATGGCTCAAAATGATGTTTCATTGATGCATTATGCATTTTGATTGATGTGAAGTGATGCAATTTTGAAAATTGATGGCAAACATCACAAACAATTCATTTCAGGATCCAAATTTCCTCCGATTTGGAAGAAAATGAGCAGTGAAATGAATAAATGATTAACTTTACCGAAAACACAAAAGCAGTACACAAAACATCTGTGATTATGGTGCATAAAGGCTAGCATTTTTGGTGGGATGGCTGAATTTTACGAATATTATATGTGGAGAATCCATTAGAATCTGAATTGTCGTGAAAGTTTTATGAGATGTCCATTTGATCACAAAAATGCTTCATAGCAGAAATTCTTTCTTTTCCTATACAAACCTTTATTGACATGTTCTCAACACTGCAAGATGTTGTTCTACTTGATGATATTGTTCTTTTTGTTCTGATGATGTTATTCTACTTGATCATCTTGTTCTTTTTGTTCTGATGATGTTGTTCTACTTGATCATCTTGTTCTTTTTGTTCTGATGATGTTATTCTACTTGATGATCTTGTTCTTTTTGTTCTGATGATGTTGTTTCACTTGATGATGTTGTTCTTTTTGTTCTGATGATGTTATTCTACTTGATGATATTGTTCTTTTTGTTCTGATGATGTTGTTTCACTTGATGATGTTGTTCTTTTTGTTCTGATGATGTTATTCTACTTGATCATTTTGTTCTACTTGATATTCGGTTAAAAAGGGATCAAGTTTGGAATCGAAGACGGAATTTGTTTCTTTGTATTGAGGACATGTTTTGAACAAACACTAAACATCAAATTTGAGACCAAAACTGCACGAGCGTCTGCGAATGCAAAGGACAATGATCCGATTCCAACTTGGATGCGGGAAACTTCTACGGCACACGATTCTACGGCAAGAACAGTCCTCGAGGTGAGAAGTTTTGTAAGGTTATAAATATTGTTACAAGAGAAACTATAATAGAACACTCGTTTATGGACCTTCACTCACCCTGACTTAGCCTATCAAACTATTTGCGCCATTTGTCTCTATCTCTATCGCCGCATAAAATAATTTTGATGAATCTGGAGAACAAAGAAGGAATAGATCTGGAGCATTTTCTTTCTGCCGAAATCTTTCTTCCAAAAATAGTTAACAAGTTAACAAGTTTAGCAATATTACGAAAAAATATGAAGCTTGTTTTTCTGAAACATCTTCGCATTTCAAAAGAAGATTTTCAAAATTTTAACTTTGAAGACGACTTCCGACTCTTCAAGCTAAATATACTGATCTTTCCAAAAGTTCTCGGAGTTGGAAAAGCGCTGGAGAAGAACTTTTCAACTATTGTTACCAATTTTTCACTGAAAAATTTGTGAAGATAGATGAAGACACTCGTGACTGTCTTTTGACTTGGTTCAACGCAGAATTATTTGTTGATTGTTATAAAAATGCCAATCTCCGAACGACCTCCGAAAATCCATCAAATTGCCCTTAAAGAAAAAGTTATTTATTGATTAACTTGAAAGGAATCGATGGATTTCGGTACACCGTGTATTTCCAATTGATCGCTCCATCAATCTGAAAGGATTTGTGAAAGACTCAAACTTATCTTTGCCATATCAAATATATATCTATGATCTTGGACACTTATCGATGAATCTTCACTCACCCTGACTCAGCCTATCAAACTATTTGCTTATTTGCGCCATTCGTCTCTACCTTTTACCCTTTTTCAAAGTCTTTTTGTTAGACATGCAGACACCCAGCAAAAAGAGCTATCAGAATATTTTTCACCTTTTCGTATGCTGTTTCCCTACTCTATCCTTCCCACCATTTTGCAAGATTCCGTTTTTAAAGCCGTTCGATTCGAGGAAACAATCAAATTCCTTCAACTCAACAAGTTTTTTCGAGCCATTGCCCTTAACAATGGGCCTTTTGCGGGGAAAATCGACTCCGATATCGCTATAACTATCACCCTGTTACCACTTTCGAATCGAGAGAAAGAAAAGAAGCATGTAATTGGATCAATCACTACAGTGTCTTTTTTCCAGTCTTCATCACCGGACTCTTTGGTCTTTGAAATAAAAGCGGAGAGCATAGGCCGAATCGTCTATAACCATCTCAAAATGCGACATTCAGCTGCTACATTTTGGCAGCTCTTCAACAGATTGCATCACTGTGGAAATCTTCGAATTTTCGTCGAATGTTATTCGATCGGCACGAGAAATAGTCAGCTTCAAAAGGATCAAAAAGAACAACTTGAATCAGCACTCAAACTCTTCTCAATTTTTCTCCCGAAAATCAAGGCGTACCAACGGGTTGATCTCCGCGGAAAAGCTCAACTTTTGGCCGATGTTTTAAAGAATTTTCGACCAGATTACGTGGAAAATCTCAAAATCAACGTTAATTTGGAAGACAAGAGCTTCATTGAAAGTTATTTTCTGAAAAATTGTCAAATTTTGACCATTCATCAATGCGAT